GCGTTAAACTTTGTTTCATAGATCTTAAATGGCATTTTAATTCACTTGGTTTTTAAAAATCTTGATTATAAACATTTTATTTAGAAAAACGCTGTTTTTTTTTTTCAGTGTAAAATGCATTATTTATTTGTGTGGTTGTGAGTGATGAGGATCAGCCTCATCAGGAAACAGGCTCTTCCTCCTCCTCCTCCTCCTCCTCCTCCTCCTATGGACGCAGCAGGAGCATCTTCTTGCTGTGACGTCATGACAGCAGCAGCATCAGCTGTTAGCTCCGCTGCCTGGAAAAAGCCTCTCCGCTGCCCGCCGCTCCCCGCACAAAGACAACATTTATGAGATCCCCTCCAATCCCTGAAATGGCGACTCAGGAGGTACAGCTGAACGAGACTCTGGCCCATCTGAAAACCGAGTCGGAGACGCTGAAGACGAAGCTGGAGGAGGAGAGAGCGAAGCTGCACGACGTCGAGCGTGAGTCCTGAAAATGGAGAGAGGCCTCGGTCCACTCCTGCCTTCACCGCGGCTCTAATAACACTTTGTTGTTTATTTACTGTATCCTCCTGGTATCTTTATAAACAAATGTATCTCAGAGTTTAGGGGATGGGGGTGTTTCAGACGAGATTATTGATCTGATTGACCGGATGTGAACCATATGTGCGCTGTTTCCATCCTAGTTTATCCTCAGAGCTCTTATCCAGTCCTGTGTCTCAGCAACATGAAAGATATGTGAAATAAAATCACTGAAAGCTGTTTTTAATGCAAACTCGATATATTTTTAAGCAGATTATCACTTTTGATCTGGCAGTGGCTTTAACACTGCCATCAGAAATGAATAAATCAAGAGTTTTGCATTAATCTAATGCTTACAGTGTGTTTTGTGTGTGTGTCTGTGTGTGAATCTGTTCAGTGCACCAGGTGGCAGAGAAGGTGGAAGCTCTGGGTCAGTTTGTCATGAAGACCCGGAGGACTCTGAAGGGCCATGGCAACAAAGTTCTGTGTATGGACTGGTGTAAAGATAAGAGGAGGATCGTCAGCTCCTCACAGGTCACAGATGTTATTATTATCTGTGTTTAAAAGCTTTCATCATGCTACCTGATTACACTAATGGTCTCTAATTGATTTTTGTTTAATGCAGGATGGAAAGGTGATTGTGTGGGATGCTTTCACCACCAACAAGGTAATCAGTCCAATGCAATATGTTGATTAAAACACAAAAGCTTCAAAACAATGTCTAATCTGTTTCCAAATGAAGTAATAATATTTTTAGGCTTAGAGGACATCAAAAGCAGCAAGATGGTTTAAAAACACAAAAAACCCAGAAGATTTAACACAAATACTTAAAGGGACAGTTCAAATAATTTGAAACGGGGTTCTGTAGAAAGGTTACAATGAGTTTCATTTACCATGAAAATTTTAAGTCAAAGATGGGAATCTGTTAGACCAGATTTAAATGGGCAGTTTGGTTATTTTTGAAGTGCTGCTTTAGATAGCAATATAAACCCTATGGTTTAAAGGAGACATATGCAAAATCCACTTTTTTAGCTATTAGATATATATTTTGTTGTGTACTTGGAGTCTCTAGGAGTGCAGAAAAGTTGAATTTAGTTTCTCCCGGTGCTGCATAGATTTCCTTATACTCTGTTTGGGTCATATTTTTTAATCTGTTCAGTTTTCTCTATTTTATATGACGGTTTCTGAACTATTACGTCACAGAATTTGTGACCGAGCTGCCAAATAAGGTCTGAACTTACCAACTACACTTTGGTCGTCTTCATTCTCCTCTGGCTGCTTGGAGTGTGTAGCTCCTTGTTTGGATTTAAAGAGACAGCATCAAAACGAGCCGATCTGAGACACACCTCTGTAGAGGGGTTAAAGAGGGGCTTGTGGAGTTACAATAAGGAGGAAATCAGACCACTGCACTTCCACTTTAAATAGACCCCAACTAAATAATTTTAAATATGAAAAAGTAGGATTTAAATGCATATTATGTCTCCTTTAAGACTCTTTCAAACACCTGTTATATCCATCATCTTAATCTTGTCTATCCAGTTTTGACGAAGCCTGGTGAATTGTCACCGCTGCATTCACACTCGTGCCGTTTTTGTGTTTCGGTGTTGGTTAGGAGCACGCCGTGACGATGCCTTGTACCTGGGTGATGGCCTGCGCCTACGCTCCATCTGGCTGCGCCGTCGCTTGTGGGTGAGTGTGTTACTACTCATGACATCTTTTAAATCTGTTGTTGTTGTTGTTGTTTTTAACTGAGCCTTTGCTTTCCGTCTCAGTGGCCTGGACAACAAATGCTCCGTGTATCCTCTGTCCCTGGATAAGAACGAGAACCTGGCTGCCAAGAAGAAATCAGTGGCAATGCACACAAACTACCTGTCTGCCTGCAGCTTCACCAACTCAGACATGCAGGTAAACGATGAATCCTAACGTCCTCAGAGTAAAGAGATTTAAGTTTCGACAACAAAAGCTTTGTGGCTTTGGTAATAATAATAGTTTTTTCTATATGTTTTCTGTTAAACTGCTTGGGTTATTTTATTTGTTCATATATCTAAACTTTGTGCTTCAATGGGAATAGCATGCTACAACTTTTTTTAAATATTTAACTTTCTTTACAACTAAAATTGCAATAGAAAAACATTGAAATCTCCTAAATATTAAAAAAAAATGTTCTAAATCCACTCGAGCGCACTTGGTAATTTGACTAACTTTAGCTAGGAGATAAATCTGCAACCTTCTTGCTCTGAGGCGACACACTGTGCTGCCCAGCTATTAGCAATAACTTTAGCATTTAGCAACAGTTTTGCTAATTTTCAAATTTTTGTGTCCGTCTTCCTGATTTTATATTTTAGCTATTGTTTGCTCATGTTCTCTGCTTTGCTTACTTCGATCAACTATTAATTTTTCAACAAATTACAAAGAAGTTATTTAACACTCAGCATTCATTCTGTTTTTTTTTCCACAATAAATTCAGTGTGGTTCTCCTAGTTTGGTGTCCTGGTCGCATACAATTGTTCCTCACAACAAAAACAATTTTATCTACATTTTATATGTTTTCAGACCTTTTTTAATTATACCGTATATAGTTTTTAAAGCTTTTTCCTTTCGTCCTCTAATTGTGTTGAAGATCTTGACATCCAGTGGGGATGGAACCTGTGCATTATGGGATGTTGAGAGCGGGCAGCTGTTGCAGAGTTTCCATGGACACGCTGCAGATGTGCTCTGTCTGGACCTGGCTCCGTCCGAGACTGGAAACACATTTGTTTCAGGGGTAAGGATACGCTCTCTGTGCAGCTTATGTACATTTTTAGGGCATTTTTAAGAATATATCATTTATTACCACTCCTCAGGGCTGTGATAAGAAGGCTAACGTGTGGGACATGCGTTCAGGACAGTGCATTCAGTCCTTTGAAACACATGAATCTGATATAAATAGTGTGCGGTAAGTTACAGTTTATGTATTTGTTTATCATTAAGTAGGAAAAAACATTTCTGCTGATAGTAAAATTTATGTTTTTACCAGCTCATCTTCTAGTTTTTATTCTACAATGGTAATCATTCAGTCAGAGTGGCTTGAATAAAGCAATTTATTATTATTATTATTATTATTATTATTTATAATTAGTCCACTCTTGTTATTAGATACTATCCGAGTGGAGATGCCTTTGCATCTGGATCAGATGATGCTACAGTAAGTGTTGCACGCCTCACAGAAAGGTGCTGAACTGTTTTCATGTTATTTTATTGATCACTCATTTTTGTTTCAGTGTCGCCTGTATGACTTAAGGGCAGACAGAGAAGTGGCTATTTATTCCAAAGAAAGCATCATATTTGGGGTCTCCAGTGTTGATTTCTCACTCAGTGGTAATTTATTTTATTATTATTATAAACATTAAGCTTTATTAAAATGTAGCTTTTTTTCTATTTTACAAATAATTTTGTTTTAGAAATTTCAAAAATAAAAAGGTGTTTGTGTGTGTTACCTCTGTCTTAGGCCGGCTACTGTTTGGTGGCTACAACGACTACACCATCAATGTGTGGGATGTTCTGAAAGGAACACGGGTGTCTATTCTGTTTGGACATGAGAACCGGGTCAGCACGCTGCGTGTCTCCCCTGACGGGACGGCCTTCTGCACAGGATCTTGGGACCACACTCTTCGGGTATAAGATTATTATTTTTCTGCAACACATCTGACAACGGTGCATGCTTCAATAACATCTGTGGCGATAATTGCTATTTCTTCTCTTTTTTTCCCCCCCAGATCTGGGCCTAAGCCTCAAACCACAAGGGATTAGTTTAGTGGACATACAGTATCTACTGAAGGCACACTGATGTTTCTGTTTGCTAGAGTACAATCACAGAGATAGAAACTCAGTTTTGGTTGTAGATAGGACATATCAATAGCACTGTATATACTCCAGTCAGGTCAGGGTAGATTTAAATATTTTAAAACATAAATAAACCAAATGGCACGCTTGCATTACAGTATGACAGAAAGAAAAAAAAAGCACAGAAATACTTATCATAGCTTATGATATTTAAAAGTATATTGAAGAAAATAATAATGGTAGTGACTTGCATTGGTTTAGGGTAGAAGTGACACAATAAAATCATGTATTGTTTGTGCCCACATAAAGGACAATATTTGTTTTCTTCACAAGTGATAAAAAAATAATGAATACAGTCTGAAGAGGAAAACCAAATAAAACTGATATGGCGGATTACACTTGGAGAGATGGAGGGTCGCTTCACTGGGAAGATAACAGTGATTGTGGCTAAAATGGCACATAGAAATAAATATTTATCAGCCTCAAGCCAGTTAGAGACACACTGTGGACAAGAGGGAGAACTGGTATAAATAAATAAAAATGCATTTTTTTATTTCAATTATTAGATGTGAAAAACAAGATGAAAAAACTTCTCTATTCCCTACAGCAGCTCACCTGCCAATATTAATGAAAACAAGTTTATTATGTTGATCTTTTATTTTTTATCTCTGTAGTCTTAAATATGGATTACTTCTTATTTATCAGTTGTGAAAACCAACACACACTGTACTCATTCAATTACAAGAGACCACTTTTTTTGCAGTTTAAATAAAAGAATAAAGAGAATGTACTTCCACCTGCGCAGCTGTGTGAAGGCTGTAATTTCAAATTAACTTTATTTTATTGTAGTTTAGTGTACAGATAAACAAGGGACTGTTATTCAGAATATTACAAACATAATAAACCGAATTTTGAATATCACCACTGTTTCTGTCACTCTTGGTCTTTATTTGATTGATTTTGTTGTTGACACTGACACTGTTCCTGCTGGCCGGTTTAATAAAGTTTTTTTATTTGAAGCGGAAGTGACATAATTGAAACGCAATGCCATTCAAAAACAATGGCCGATTGGTTGTGCTGCATTTTAAACTTAATACAGCCGTTCTAAATGTGTAACAGGAAAGTTTGTTGCAACTTGTTATTGTTAATAGATAGCTAATTTCTAAAATTGTATGTTTTAGAGGGACAAATCTCTCGAGAGTTGATTTTTTTTATTGTTTCCAAAATGAGCGATGTTATGGAGAAGACGCTGACAGCTCTGCCAAGCCTCCTGTCTTTAGACTCTCAACCTGGGTCTGCAAAACTGTCCGCTAACTCCAAACTAGGAAACCTTATAAGAGGAATCACTGAGCTAACCTCCAAACATGTAAGTGTGTCCTCTAAGCTAAGTGTTTTCGTGAAAATGGCAACATTCGTGTTAGCTTGCCGAAAAGCCTTTTTGCTGACTTAGGAAAAGATGTTTGTCATATTGTTAGAAGGAACTTTAAATTCACGATAGACCGATTCACAGACAGATTCTTGTTACAGCTTTGTTATTTCCGTGTTGTGTAATTTTAGGAAAACAATGCCGAGACATTTAAGAGCCTTGGTTTTCTTGTGGTGCGTTCAGGTGCTGTTGTTTATTTCAGTCACATGTACTCAAGTATTGAAAGTGAAAGTACTGAGTAAAAGTGAGTGGTTAGAATTTCCAAAATAACATTTATTGGGAGCTGGCCTCCCCAAAAACACATCTAAAGGCTATAATGACCATAATGTTATATTAAAATGTTAATGTTGAAAAATTTAGGATGCACTACCAGTTTTAGCTGCACATTTCTGTATCAGTCATCTTTATTCTAGGCTACATACGTCTGATATGTTCTGCTGGAGTGTTGTCAGAATGGTATATACTTCTCATCCAACCACAATTAAATTTACTCTATAGGGAGGCGCCATATGTCTGAACAGGTTTATGTTTTTAACAATAACAAGCTGGAATGAAAACGAGCCAAAATTATATAAAAATAAAACAGTAGAAAGTATACATAATTGTGTGAAAATGTAAGGAGTACTTCTAAAAATTCGGCTGAAACTATAACTCTAGTAAAGTATACATAACCAAAATTTCTTACCTCTGACTTTAACCTATTCTGATCAATGAAGAAAAGGAAAAACGAAGTGGTTATTATACTTTTTTTGGTCTCATTTGTCCTTTTCTGTGTTTGTTTCACTACAGGAAGAGGAAAAACTTATTCAGAGGGAGCTGTCGTCAATCAAAGAACAAGTGTCCTCTCCGAACACCACCATGGTACTGTGCTCCCAATGTTCTCATTCAGTCTTTCACAAAAATGTTAGTCGTTTAATGTGTTCACATCTCTATGTTGTCAAATCTGATTCAGAGGCAAATGAAGGAGCTCATGGTGAGAACCATCTACTGTGAAATGTTGGGCTACGAGGCTTCCTTCAGCTATATTCATGCTATTAAACTGGCTCAGCAAGGCAATGTCCTGGAGAAGAGGGTCGGTATGTGATTTCCATTTTTTTCCTCCTTTCAGAATATTAAAATCTCTCTTTTGAGACAGCCTCAAAACGAGTTGATCTGAGGCACACCTCAGAAAAGAGGTGAAAGGGGCTTGTGGAGTTACAATAAGGAAGAATTCAGACCAAAGCATTGCAGTTCCACTTTATATAAACCCCAACTGAATGATTTAAATGTGAGAAAAAAGGATTTAAAAGCATGATATGTCTATGTTATTTATGGGAAAAACAAAGGGAGTTAAGTTTGAATTTGTTGTGACTTTGTTCCTCTTTAGGTTATCTTGCTGTTTCCTTGTTTTTGAACGAAAGTCACGAGCTGCTGCTTCTCCTGGTAAACACAGTATTAAAGGTGGGTTAGTTTTAATATTTGGCAGGATTTTTTTCTTTTACTTGTCATGTTTTTCAATGTTGCCTGAAAAGAAGAAAGGAGGTGTTTTTTAATTAGCTGTAAGTCAAGTTCTTTAAAAGCCAAAATGTCCCCATAAAGGGGCTGAGCTGTTAGATTTTTCAGATGAATTAGTGATGTTATTGTCAGTAGAAGCTAATGGAAATGATTGGCTGCTGGGGGTATAAGTATAATGATGTGGTCGTGGCAACGTGGTGCTGATGTTTGTCTCCTTCGTAGGATCTTCAGAGTACAAACCTGATCGAAGTGTGCATGGCTCTCACAGTTGTCAGCCAGATGTTCCCCAAAGACATGATCCCAGCAATCCTCCCTCTGGTGGAGGAGAAGCTCAGTCACTCCAAGTATGACGTGCTTGTTTGCCTTTTCACACCAGTTCTTTTTCCTGCCATTAAGTGAAACACAAAGAAACAGTTTGAATGATATATTTGATGCGTGCTCGTTGTCACAAACCTGCAGAGAAATCATTCGACGGAAAGCAGTCCTGGCGCTGTACAAATTCTACCTGATAGCACCGAATCAAGTTCAGCACATTCACAACAAGTTTCGTAAAGCGCTGTGTGACAAAGACCCTGGTGTCATGTCGGCTTCGCTGCACATCTACTTACAGCTGATTCAGGTAACTTTTCTTTTACATCTAGTTTTCTTTATTATTAGTTTAGCTTTGTGGTGCTTATTTTAACTATGTTTTATCTTTGTTTCAGGAGAATCCAGAAGGTTACAAGGACTTGACAATGAGTTTTGTCACCATCCTGAAGCAAGTGGTGATGGGGAAGCTGCCCATGGATTTTAACTACCACTGTGTTCCTGCGCCCTGGCTTCAAATTCACCTTCTCAGAATTCTCTCCTTACTCGGGAAAAACGACCAGAGGTGGTGATTTCTTTCTCCATCTTTGGATTAACTGAACGTCCCGGTCCTCAATCTCTTTTTAATAGTTTTTTTCCCTCACAGCATGAGCGAGATCATGTATGAAATCCTCGATGAGTCTTTGCAAAGAGCAGAGATGAACCACAACATCACTTATGGTATATTTAATGCTTTGAACAGACTTATTGGTTGGAAGCAGTTGGAGGCGTTTTCTCATCTTTCTCATCTTACTTCCAGCAATTTTATACGAATGTGTGAAATGTATTTACACGATTCATCCTAAACCTGACCTTTTGGAAAAAGCTGCAAAGTGCATTGGCAGCTTTGTTTTATCGCCGAGGATAAATCTAAAGTATCTTGGTAAGAATAAAAAAAAAGTATAATTAAAGATGAATGATTTCTCTCAGATAAGATGTTAACTCTGTTACTGTAGGCTTGAAGGCCCTCACCTACGTGGTCCAGCAGGACCCAAAACTAGTCCTGCAGCATCAGATGACCATCATCGAGTGTCTTGATCATCCTGATCTTATTATAAAGCGGGAGGTGGGTCGGATGCAGGTGTACTCTTGGGTTGTCATTAAATAGTTGATTTACAGCATCATGAAGCTTTTGTTTTGTTTCTTTGTTTCCCTGCAGACGCTGGAGTTGCTTTTTCGTATCACTAATGCCCAGAATGTCACCGTCATCGTGGAGAAGATGCTGGATTTTCTACAAGTCAGTGAAGATAATCACACCACCATTGACCTGGTGGGGAAGGTGGCAGAACTGGCAGAAAAATATCCTTACCAATGTGATGATGTCTAATGTACACTGAAGTGGGCATCTGCTTTTTGAAAAAATAAATAAATAAATAAATTACAAAAGTGAAACGCTGCATTCATGGAATTATGTAGTTTTTCACATAAATCCTTTTAATCTCCTCGTATTTGTGGATCTTATGTGGATCTCTGCAGAAGCTTTCAGGCCTGAGTGATGCAGCGACTTGAAGAGGTTAAAATCTCAGTAAGCTGCAGCTAAAGCTCAAGTTCGTTTAGTGTTAAAGCCCGAAACACAACGTTTACTACAAAATAAAAACTCCCTGGGCACATAGACTTGGCAGCCTTTTTGCTAGCAATAAATTCTGCCTGTTTCATATCCTGTCATGTATCTTTTCATCACTCCTTTTTATTGTTTCTTACTTTATTAGGTCTTTTTTAAAACTTGTCTTAATGACTCTCTGGAGTAATGTTCCTTTTATTTTAGTTGTTTTATGTCTAACAGTTTTGACCATTTTGCATCAAAATGGTTTGATTCTGTGTCTTTTTCGTCCCACTGTGGTTAATTTAGTTTTCTTTGAGATGCTTGTGCCTCAGGTTAATGAGTAGGTCCGGATTTTCAGTCGACCAGAACACGACTTTGCAAAAATAGTTGATGAGAAAGCAACTTTGTTTTACCTCTCATTCAAAATGATTCTTTAGTTCTGATCATGGTTTGGAAGTTTCAGGCCTATAAATCGTTAAAATGACCAACTGGCCTCTGTAACCCACTGAGTGTATTTGATACTTTTTGACAGCATCGTGCTGCATTGTTCTCTACATATTTATTACTTTTCATTTGCTTTCTTTATTTATTTCCTATATATCTCATACATATGCACCAGACAATGAATGGTTCATTGAGACCATGAACACAGTGTTTTCTGTGGGTGGAGACGTGATGCAGCCGGACATCCCAAACAGTTTCCTCAAACTGTTATTGGAGGGTGAGTTGGCTATAAATTCATCTTGCGCTGTTCAGTAGTCTTGTGCTTTAATTCTCTACTGAAGTAACGACACACAGGCTCTGACTTAAATTATGTTTTTTCTGTATTTTTAAGGATTTGACAGTGTGGAGGAAGACAAGAAACTGAGACTGTTTGCTGTGAATTCCTATGTTTCTCTGCTGCAAGGAGAGCCCAGCAGACTGCCCCAACGCTTCCTTCAAGTCATCTGCTGGGTGAGGGTTTTCTGCACAGCCTCGGGAGGAATACTTGGGATCAATCAGTGTGTAACGCAAAAAGAGGAGGATGTTATACAGACGATTTAAAGCACGTAATATCTTTAAAAAACATGAGACTTGCTGTTAGGGTAAAGAGTAGGGTATATGTTGTGTAACGTAAATAAATGCAGACTGTAATAATTATCAAACATTATAAACCCACATTTTATTTACAGAACATAAGAAACATCAAATGTTTAAACTAAGAAATACAATTTTAGAAAAAAAATGTCATTTTGAATTAAATATTATTCAAAGTTTTAAATTTTTGTTGAGGAACCTTATTCTGAAATTGGATGCTTTTTTTTTCAAACTGCGAAACGTTTTTATATCCACTCCTCTTACTTACCTGTTACCAATAAACCTAATTCTTGCTTCTTCAGCTGTTTCTCATCAGTACCACTTATTTTCACAGCCATTTGTTGCCCTTATTCTGACATTCTGTTTTATTTGCTGCCATCAAAAATATAAATTAACGTCTTAGTTTACAATTTTAGTATATTTACCATGTTCCATTATAAATATATTTATTTATAATATTTGCAAATAATTGCATTCTGTTGCATTAGTTACCCTGTACTTGTTCTCAATGCTAAAGTTTTGGTTTGTTTTGCTCAGGTTCTTGGAGAGTATGCTCATCTAAACGAGGATGTTGAGCCTGACGCTGTCCTGAGGCTGCTGGCAAAACTGTTGGACATGAAGAGCAGCACCAGTGAAACCAAGAGCTGGGTCCTCATAGCCATGACCAAGCTCTGCTCAGGGGGAGCAGCTTTCTCTGTGGCTCACGAGGTTTCTGAAACGTACGGCAGCTCCATGGACACCATGCTGAGACAACGAGCGCAGGAGCTGCAGCACCTCAGCCAAGACTCGGCACTACAGAGCAGGGTGTTCCCTCGAAGTGGCAGCCAGGAGCCTGTTGAGGTAACACACATGCAAATCTGAGTGTATAAATATTATTTGCGCTAGCGCCGACGCTATATTGCCTCATATGTATTAGCTCAGCGCTAGCACAACAAACAAGCTAAACTGAGGTCCTCCATCCTTATTTTCAGTTGCAGACTGAGTCATTTTTGTGTTCCCCTCTCTGTCATGTGGATGGAGGACCTCAGTGACGAGAGGAGAATGTGTAGCGCTGAGCTAATACATATATATGTTGATAGCATCAGGGTTAACGCTAAAGCTAACAGGCTAAGCTGAGGTTCTTCTTCCATGAAGCAGCTCTGTTGTCCTCCATCYATATTTTCAGTTACAGGCTGAGTCATTTCTACCTTCTCCTCTCTGTCAACGCTCTCTGGTTTCATTTAAAAGAGTCGATCRTCAGATATTGTCCAAGATTAAACTTCAGTGTGGATATAGCTCGCTAGCAGCCTCGCACCGAGGACTTATCCACGTCATCATTTACCCAGAATGCTTTGCGTGTAAATAAAATGGCACCATCTTTGTGATATATTTTTAAACTTTTAGTTTAAAAATGATAAAAACTGAACATCTTACAGTATTTTTACAGTCTTTATTTTACAGTTAAAATATATGTTTATCAAATAAAGATTAATGTTACAACTAATCAGGGATCCTTTTAATCTGGGTTTATATTTCATGACTCATATGATTACAATAATAGGAGCAGTAACAGGGATGGGAAGAGCACTGGTCTGAGTTGTTTCAGTGTTGTTTGCAGGTTTTAGCCAATTACAGAACATAAACAGTCAAGGCGATACTCAGACTGGACATTTACAGTTAAAGCGTCTTGCAGTCTGTTTCACTGAGAGGTTTAGGTGTGGCTGTAATAATGTTGGTCTCCAGGTGGATTCCTCACTGTCGTTCCTGGATGGATTTGTGTCGGAGGCGTTGGCTGCAGGCGCTGCTCCGTACAAGCCTCCTCATCAAAGGCAGGAGGAGATGTCCCGATCAAAAGGTAGAATGAATTTTTATTTATTTTTTTAATTTTTGCAAGAGATTTCACTGCCTTGTTTGTGTTTTGTTCTGATTGTGTTGTGTTGTCAGTCCTGAGTTTGGAGCCCTACGGCCTGTCCCTGCCCATCAGCATGTCGTCCTGCAGCGTCACAGACAGACAGTCTCCCACTCTGTTATCCATGAGCTCCAGTCTGTCAGGTGACAGCGCTGAGCTGTCGCACAAAGCCAGGTAGGTAGCAAAATAGGAACACAACTGGAAGCATCAAGTCTTGACCTCACACCGCTGAGTCGCTGTTTGTGTTCCAGCTCCACAACCTTGAAGCTGGACGGTGTGACGAGGGTGTGGGGGCGAGAGGGCTACCTGGTGCAGAGAGAACCTGTACAGGAAGCCGCTCAGGTGGAGGCTCCCAGTCCACTCCGGTCTCCTCGTCAGCAGGGGGACGAGGACAGCCCCCACAGCCAGACTCCCACTCCAACACCCACACCTGAAAGTGAACAAGAGAAACAGCAGCTGGCGTCCTCACTTTTTGTCGGCCTGGCCTCCCCAAGCTCTGTTTCTCTGGTGAGCTCATAAGATCTGATGAGTCTTGTTTGTAAAAGGAAGATGAGCTAGAATAAACACTGGCAGACTTTCTGCTGGCAGCTGGAAGTCATTTATTGTGAAGGAGCTTCAGCCGCAGGGCATAAACAAAGTGTCTGAAATGGTTGAACAGCTTTGAGAGTAGAGACACAGAACCCAATTAAACATGCCAAACATAAAAACATACTTTTTTTAAGGAAAATAAGAGACATTACATATCACATGTTACTATCTATTCTTAACAGGCAGTTTGAAATTGAGTCCAGATGTTTTTAATCAACAAGGTGGTTTGAACATAGAAATGTATGTTGGTACAAATCAAAAATGTTTTCTGAAGACATTAGCAAGTTGATGCTGGTGCTCTTCAGGTTTTGAACATTTATATTAAGCAATGGTTTAGATTGGAAGCCAGGATCATGTGCAGAAAACCAGTTATGTTCCCAGAATGTTTATTTCCAGGTCTAAAGACACTCTGAGCCTGTCTGTGTCTCCGGGGACCGAAAACAAAATGGTCACGAATCTTACAATGTTTATAGAAACCCTGGTCACACCCCGGATATGTAACATAAGAAACAAGGAAGTAAGTTCTAGTAACAAACACGAAAACTAAATTGAGACTTGTTGAAACTTTTACTGTTCGATACAGTCGATCACAAAGTATAAAACAAGTGCATCTGAATTTACATAATCTGATTCAGGTCACATATGAGCAGAACCACTGGGTTTGGGTCAAGTTAAAAGAGCCACAAATGGTCCCGTCAAAGTCTTGATCTCTGTAACAGAAGGTGTCCTGGTCCTGGAGGACCACAATCCTGCAGGTTTTAGAGAGGTTTCTCTGCTCCAACACACCTGATTTAAACGAATCAACAGACTTCTGCAGAACCTGCAAAGGTAATTCAGTCAGAACCAGGTGTGTAGGAGCAAAGAAACAAGTAAAACCGGCATGATGGAGACCCTGCGGGACCAGGACTGGACCCCACTCATCTATAATAATAACTTTAAGCTATAAAAATGAGAAGAAAGGTTAAAAAAAGACAAGAAAAAAAAACAAGAAAAACCCAATCCTGAAGCGATTTAAAAATAGATGATTTGAGCCTCCATCTGCTCTGCTCTATACAGGTGGAAATATCATGGTTTGAGTCTGTTTTGATACAACATGGTTTTTAAAAAGTCATTCTTTCACTACTTCATTGTTAAGATGTGAAGAAACGAGTGCATGTATTAAAACACAGAGGCAACCTTAAAACCCTTCAAGTAATGTATATTTTTCATTGATTTTTAGCATTCATATTTATTTTTTTTTATATTTATTTTTTTATAGTTTATTCATTTGGAGTGTAATTTTAAAAAATGCATGAAAATTCTAAGCTTTTTATTTTTATTTTATGTAGTCTGAGTTTCTGTCTTGTTGATTCAGCAGTAAAACAAAAAAAGATACACTCATAAGAAGACAAACATGCTTTTATTGACAAAAAAGATTTCAGTGAATTTCTTTACACAAGGAAGTAATCTTGTAATCATTTGCAGGGGCTTGTTTGCAATAATTGTTTGTTTTATACAAACAAACATATGAAATGTAAAGTAATAGAAAGTCGAACTTAAAGTTTTTTTTCCCCTCAACAGATGGGGAAATCTGAGCAAACGTCTCAGCGGTTCAGAAGAAAAGCCAGAATTCAAGACAAACCCCCGACCTCTGGTGAGCAGATAAACAACCTGCCTCCCGGAGGTGCAGCCGACTTGTTGCTGGACTCTAACGTCTCCTCAGAACTCGTTTCTTCACTCGAACAGACACATCGAAACTCTCTGGACCTCACGGCTAACGGCGCCTGTGACGCAGAGTTACCTGACGGAGACGTGAAGGAAATAAAAACACCTCTCAGTACAGACGACTCTGTTTTAGCAGCTGGTCTTTCTCCACACGAGGGTCCAGACAGACCCAAAGACTTGTGTCTCACATCTTACCTTCCAGCTGAACTTTCTGGACTTTCGCACTCAGAAATCACTCTGCTGTGCACCAATCAAAGCCTGGATCTCTCAGCGTGCCATGTGCAAAAAGAGGACTGCGTAGAGTTAGTTGTTTTTATTAAAAACTCCTCAGACTCTGCTGCTCACCAGCTTCAAATGCAAATCAGCTGTGAGGAAATTGAGGTAAATTATATTTTACAAATGATCAGCTGCTTTGTTTCAGTTGAACTTTTATTAAACAATTATTAACAATTATATGACATGTTCTTATGTTTAAGGTGTCCTGTGTATGTGACAGTCCAGTAGAGGAATTAAAAAGCCACAGTGTAACAGTGTGTCAGTATTTCCTCACTGTGAAGAGGCCCTCAGTTTGTTTTGATCTGGTTGGGATGGTTTATTACCAGCTGGCTGCTGGGTCGCTTCAAACAGCGCAGTTTTTATACAAACTTCCTCTAACAAGCTTCATCAGGTGAGATATTTTACTGCTGTTTGAAACCCTCCCCAGTGATGACGAGTGTTTTTATTCTTCATTCATATTTTTTCCTGCAGACCGTTGGCGGTGTCCACAGAGGAGTACGGGACCATGTGGCTGGCCTTCTCTCATGACACGAAGCAGAACCTGCCTCTGATGAAAGACGAGCGGGAGCCTCTCACTGCCACCCTGAACCTGCTGAAGACAAAACTGCAGCTTCATGTTGTGGAAATTATCGGTAAGATTTCATCTCAAAGTCAGCTGTGTGGCCTCTTGATTTGGAACAGCATTATGTTTAGTTTGGAACAGCATTATATTTAGTTTGTTTTGATTCCTAATAGAAAAAAAAGTCCTCGGGGATAAGTTACAAGTTAAAGTACTTGATTTTATTTATATGTGGTAATATTTGTAGGTGGACCTAAATTTATAGAGTTGGCTCAAGTTTTATCAGAATGTAATTATTTTCTACATTTTAAGGGACACAATTACATTTTAACATTAAATCCTCAACTCGTGATTTCATTTTAAATTTGATACCAGTTACATAAAAACAAATGTCACAGGAGGGAGTTTGTCACTGCTTTATAATTGGCAACGCCATTTGCAGATTTTATTTTCATTTAAATTAGTTAATTGATTTAAATACTTTTTTATTTCAGCAATTTGAGGCTTGATTGTCATATTTCTAGTTCATCATGTCATTTATTTTAAAAATACATTTTTATTTAAAAGACTTCTACTTAAACTTTCCTTCTGAAGCTCTCACATCTCATGGCGTCACTTAGCTCAGCAGATAGTTTAGATGTGGTGACCGTAAGCGAATCGAAATAATAAATAAAATAGCAAAAGTACTTTCAAATATTTTGTGACAAATGGAGTTGGAGATGAAAATTCAACTCTGGAAGGCTAATTGACCTCACCTGCTCCTTCCTGCCGCTGCATCACAATCAGTGTCGGACAGTCAGTGGATGAAAGCGTCCTCTGAAATCACTCCGTCAACCTTCATCTTCTGGCTTCCAAAGACTTCTATCACCTTTGACCTCCACCACCAGTGTCAGGCCCCAGCGGGGGGGAATAAAATACTCCTACCACTAATCTCAAGCAGCTCATCGGAGCTTACATCATCTCACAGTGCTCGCATCCTCTGCCGAGGTCTGAGCGCCAAACTCTGACATTCATGTCAATAAATTTACTTCCTAATTTCAGTCTGTCTTTGTGAGTCTCTCCAGGTTGAAGTTATTTCCACATGATATTTGGTTTGGAACTACAAAACATTCTTATTCTTTGTTATTAAAAGGGTTTGATTTTAAATTGTTTAAGTCTTTGTGTGCATTACTCAACACTTCAGTTGTGAGAAAAGAGATAAAAATGCTTATTTAACAGATTTTTAAGCATTTTGGTCACAAAGAGCCCCACATTATGGAAGCATTGTGTAAAACAAATAAAATGTATAAATGTATAACAGTGTTACGCTGTGATACAATCAGCACTTTGTAAATCTAAACCTGATGTATTTCATCTCTGAATAAAACCCCTTTTTCTTTCAGGTGAAGAAGGGATTGTAGCTTGCTGCCTCCGCCCGGATCAGCAGTGTCTCCTGCACTGTCGCATGCACGCCGGCATGCTGGCGGCGTGGTTGCGTTCTCCTGTCCCCGACCTGCCTGACAGCCTTCTGTACCACTGTCAGAGAGCTTTACAGGAGCGCTGACCGCCAGCTGCAGCGCCTCCACAGAGCGACTGACCAATCACAGAGGAGGAGCTGCTGCTGCTGCTGGGAGGATTTCAGGTCTTTACTGTTCAGCAGTTTTTTTCTACTATAAATTATTAAGTTTAATGTTATTTTTATATTAAGTAGCATTATTTTTATTTTTTCATATAAACGCAGATTATTTTAATTCATTGAAGGTCAGAGCAGGAAATAAGCTCAGGGCTAAAATATAGCAGGTTTAAAAAAATACTGTGATCTTAAAGAGATCCCAGACTCAAAGACTAAACATAACAGTAAATCATGTATTATAGCATACTTTACTTTTAAAAAAGGTAAAAACTATATATTGAATTACAAAACAGCACTTTTGTTTATTTCAGAAAGAATGTTCTGCATCGATGACCTTGGGTTTTAAAACCCAACTTCTTCACAATCACAGATTTAAATTTCCACACAGTTTGAGCAAAAAGTCATTTTTTAATTGTTTTTTCTGTCAGAAGAATCATATTAAAGTAATATGCTAACAGGCACACAGTTACCATTTAACTAAGGTTTTCACAGCAAGTTAGATAATTTGCTTTACTTTTATTTATTTTACCCCTCTCTGAGTCACTTTATTTTGTAAAATAAGTAGAATCGCTTATTGTTTTAGGTGTTTTGGACAATGACAGTAAGGGATTTGATAAATTATTTAAGAAAATTCAGTATCCTGCCCAGACAGAATACTGTATTTTCAAAAGCTAAGACAAACAAAAGTTACTTTCTTATCAAAATATTGCTTACATTAGAAAATCTGGTTGTTTTTTGCTTTAAACAGTGATGCTCTCACTTATATAATGTTGCCTTCTGTTTTATATAATCATCTATTCACTTATTTTTCTGTTAAATATCTGGCTGAAGCAGTCATAGATTTATATATTTTTGCATCCATTCAGTATTAACATTTATTGAGTTTGCATTCGAAATGTCTTACATTATTTCACAGAAAGACAGGAAATCATTGCTTTCACATTCTGCTCTGCGTACGGTCTAGTTTTGTCTGTGTGACGTCAGCCTGAAGCAAGAGTTGGATTTTATTTTTTATTTTTAATGTCTGCACTGAGTTAAAGCACAGTGTGCTGCTGATGGTGTCTGGAAACTTTAACCCTTTTGCCTCATTTTCTAATGCCGAGATGAGACGGCATGTTTGATTTGTGCCTGTGGTACAGAGAAGACGCTTTGTCACTACATTCTGATGAATTATGAATAAATTTAATATGTCAAACTACCTGCTTATTGCCAAATCATTTTTTTTTAAATAGAGAATATTATATAGACTGTAGATTCAGACGTGCTGGATTTTATGCCATTTTCTTTTAAACTTGAAATAGTTTATGGAACAATAAACTGAAGGAGATCTGTTCACTTGAAATATACATTTAAAAATACTCCCATGTCGACTGGTTGCTCATTTAGAAAAGTTTTATTTGTACTCATCACAAAAGAAATGATCACATCTCTAATTTCAAACTTAGATTATGTTTTGTAAAACTTAATCACCAGGGTAAAACCAAACGAGAGTGTAAGTGAAGCCATTAAAGCAAAATAAGATGTTTTGGTTAATATATTCAGTGCTTTAACATGAAATATTATTTATAATAAACTGTCATTTTGCTCACAGCATTTTTCTAAGTCAGAAAACTAGCTGCTCTGTTCTGTATGAACGGAAACATTCAACTATGATGTGTAAATATTAGTACTGCCAACAAAACATAAAAACAAGCATCTGTTAATATTTAAGGGATCTTGTGGTGCTTTGTAGAAAGGTTATCAACAATATCTTACCGGTTGTAGATAGCTCTTTGAGTGACCTCAGTTTGGAGAAATAAGGTTCAGTTCTGACCAGATTGAAGAGCTAAATGCTAGTTTGAGTGAGGTCAGAGTCAAAGTGAATCGCTGCCACCGTAAAACAACTTCAACCCCAAAATTTTCACATCATTTTATATAAAAGCTGTTTTATAAACATTTACGCCACTGTCGGGTCTCTATTAACGTTATTCTGTGCTGTCAGCAGAGCAGTGGCTGTGAGATGTGAGACCAGAACATGGCTGTCTTTAGTAATGATTTTGAACCATGTACATTTCTGATTATAAAAACGATGCTAATTTTTTTTAGTAGGTCTCTGGCCTTTTTTAATGTTAAGTTAGCATCAATGCTAACCTAACTTGATCAGAATGTGACTACCGTACTCCAATTTTGTGCACTCAGCTATCTTTAATAAATATGACAACTTAAATCACTGATTTATGTAAAACAAAATGTTATGTTTCAATAAAATCGAAATGTATAAATAATAGTTTTATAATTGCTTTGCAGCCCTCTGAAGTGTGACTGAATCACGCTGTGCCTAAAGTTTCCCACCTAGCATTAAACAATTTGAGCTGTTTTAAGGCTGCTTTTCTTTGGTCTTGGTCTCAATTTAACCATTAACACTTCAGTCAGAATGAAACTGTTTTAATTTACTGATTAGCCTCTCCATCTTTGTACTTTCTATTTTAATGTTTGATTTGTTCTTGCCTCCCTACTCACTTGTTACACTATTTTTCTGATGCATGTTTTTTTAACTATACATTGTCCTGAAAGGGGCTTTTTAAATAAAATGTTTCTCCAAACTGAATCGGTTCAAAGAGCTATCTACAACAGACAAGATGGTAATTGACTGTGGCCTAAAGAATGTGAACTATCCCTTTAACACAACCTCTGGGGTAGTCGGGTGCCGTCATCCAAAAAAGATCAAATTATTCTGGTGTTTCGGCGCAGACTGTGTCTTGTTTCCGGGTGCGAGGGATGAAGCGCATGGCGAGGCCGCGCTCGTCCTCCACAGGCTGCTGCGACAGGTTGTTGGTCTGCCTGATGCTGTCCAGCGTGCAGCCCTGGCGGGGACACACTGTGTAACGAGACAACAGAGTGATCAAGATGGCCTTCATCATGACCATGGCGATGTGTTTGCCCACACAGGAGCGAGGCCCGCAGCCAAAGGGCTGGAAGAAACGGCTGGGCACCTGCCAAACACAGGAAGTAAAGACAGAAGAGATATTAGTCTCGCTCCTCAGGAGTCCCACGTTGTTTCGTACCTTTGACTCACCGTGTTGTCAAAGTTCTTCAGGCTGAACTCTCCGGCTTTAGGGAAGAACTCGGTCTTGTGCATGAGCCCGATGTTGAGAATGATATTGGTTCCTCTCCTGATTTTTGTGCCGTCGATGTCGTCGTCCTCCAGAGCTTTACGCATCGTGAAGTCGACCACGGGGTGAAACCTCAGACACTCGTTGATGAAACTCTCCATAACTTTTAATCCTTCGTGATCGATGTCCTCCACAGATTTCCCATCTGCAGATGAAATAATGCTTTAATGTTACATTTGTGAATCCAGCTAGAGATTAAAGATCTAGGATTCCTTGAAGAAATGCACCTGCCACACCAAGTTTTAGACTAAAATCATCTTTAAAAAAACTGTTATATCTATTTTTGTTTTGCTTAGTGTCAATCAGCTGAGGCGGCCATCTTGAATTAGGTTTATATCAGTTGAAGATGTAAATCCAATAATTACTTTCTGAAAGTTTCTTTATAATCTGTTCAGATATTTTGCTAAATACGTTATCGTCCACTTTTTGCCATTCAGAAATTTGAAATAATGCACATGACTGTAAGAAATACGTGTTTAATATAGGCTGAAATCAGATGAAAACACAAGTATTAAATAAAATGATATGTGATATGAAATAAATGTCATATAACACCAGAATTCTGGAGAGACGAGTGAGGTTTATTTGTCACCGGACTGACAAGCCAAACCACACTGAATGAAAAACAGGAAGTTCCCATTTATATACTGTACACGATTCTTCAATGCCTGAGTTCGCCCTCTGCTGACCTACGGCTGAATCACAGGCATTCAGACAACGACCTGACACTAATGTTTCAAAACAGTTCTTATGTGTTGTATATGAATTCGGACATGTAGCTACTCTATTTCAATTAACACATAATAGATCAAACATTATAAACCCACATTTTATTTACAGAACATAAGAAACATCAAATGTTTAAACTAAGAAATACAATTTTAGAAAAAAAATGTCATTTTGAATTAAATATTATTCAAAGTTTTAAATTTTTGTTGAGGAACCTTATTCTGAAATTGGATGCTTTTTTTTTCAAACTGCGAAACGTTTTTATATCCACTCCTCTTACTTACCTGTTACCAATAAACCTAATTCTTGCTTCTTCAGCTGTTTCTCATCAGTACCACTTATTTTCACAGCCATTTGTTGCCCTTATTCTGACATTCTGTTTTATTTGCTGCCATCAAAAATATAAATTAACGTCTTAGTTTACAATTTTAGTATATTTACCATGTTCCATTATAAATATATTTATTTATAATATTTGCAAATAATTGCATTCTGTTGCATTAGTTACCCTGTACTTGTTCTCAATGCTAAAGTTTTGGTTTGTTTTGCTCAGGTTCTTGGAGAGTATGCTCATCTAAACGAGGATGTTGAGCCTGACGCTGTCCTGAGGCTGCTGGCAAAACTGTTGGACATGAAGAGCAGCACCAGTGAAACCAAGAGCTGGGTCCTCATAGCCATGACCAAGCTCTGCTCAGGGGGAGCAGCTTTCTCTGTGGCTCACGAGGTTTCTGAAACGTACGGCAGCTCCATGGACACCATGCTGAGACAACGAGCGCAGGAGCTGCAGCACCTCAGCCAAGACTCGGCACTACAGAGCAGGGTGTTCCCTCGAAGTGGCAGCCAGGAGCCTGTTGAGGTAACACACATGCAAATCTGAGTGTATAAATATTATTTGCGCTAGCGCCGACGCTATATTGCCTCATATGTATTAGCTCAGCGCTAGCACAACAAACAANCCCTAATACTCTGGTGTTGTTTCTGATATCAGTACTAATCTATAAATAACTAAATTTCTTCATGACTGTATTTATTTTGTCACATATTTAACTTTTCTTTGTGCAGTTGATGCAACCGGAAGTGACAACAAAGGGGAACGCCTTGGTTTTTGTTCAAACCAAGAATGGCCAACTGACAGCTGAAGAAACTTATTTTTCTTTTAAAAAATTTTTTCGTAGATACATGTAAGCGTCTCAGTGTCATTGAATTGGTTGTAATGACAAAGTTTGCTTTTCCAACACAGACACCACCTCGCGTACGCATTCTCTCCACCAGTGCGGAAGAGACTTTTAGCCATGGCTAAGAAAGGAGAAAGGAAAATTGGTCGGATAAAAAAAAAAAAAATCACATTTCAGGTAAAATGGGAGGCAAACTTGTGTGTCTAGTTTGATTAGAAACGCTGTGTGCCATGAAGGATTTTAATATGTCACCACTGCAACATGTTGCACAAAGCTAAATATGAGAAATTTACAGAAGTCACAAGTACAAACAGCAACTTTGTACCAGAACCACAGCCATGCAGGAGTCTGCACTCAAGGCATCTTATTCCATTCAGCTCTCTAAAGTAAGTTTTTATTTATTGTTTACTTTAAATGTTTTGTATTCATATTTAATAAAACAGTACAGCTGTTATATTTGAGCATGATGAAATATGTTAGCACACTAAATTGGTTTAATAAACACAATTCATACATACATACACTTATAGCAGTTTTATTACATTTGGTGTGCAGTGCTATGTGACCCTCAGGCAGTGTCAACAAAAAATTGTGTCCCCCTTTCATTTTTTAAGTTTCCCCTCCCAGGTTTAAAGGAACTCTGTGTTCATCTCGCTCCGATAGTCTCAAAAATGAATCTTTGCTACTGTCTGTTGTTGAACATTGCAGCAATGCTCTCTTTAAATGCAAGAATTCCCCTTTGTCATCACACTATGGGATAAATCTTGTGCCAGCAGGAATAGAATTTGAATTGCTCAGTTTGAATCTGAATGTGCATAATTTGAAATTGAATGCATTGGTTTGAAAATAAATTTCATTGAATTGAAACTGAATTTAATGATTTGAAACTGAATTTAAAGTTTTGTATCTGAATTAATTTGCTTTGAAACTGTATTTTGGTTGATTAAAAATTCAGTTTGACTACTTTCAATTTCAGTTCCATAATTCAGATTKTTGTCACATCCTGGTCCTTGAGAAAGCCAGCCAGAGTAATCAAACACAGATCCACAGATTTATGTTGCACTTTGGTGAAGTTTCCCTTCTGTAATGTAACAGAGTTGATGCAATCCACCATAAAAGTGACGAAAACAGTTATTTTATTTCAGTGATTAATTTTACCTATAGAACACATTACATTTACATCACATCATGGATCAGTCAGGAGCAGCATCTGATCAATATGTGATCCATGATGTCATCATGTAAATGTAACATTTTCTACATATAGGTAAAATTAATCACTGCAATAAAATAACCGTTTTTGTCACTTTTACAGTGGATTGCATCAACTCTGTTACGTACAGAAGGGAAACTTCAACAAAGTGAAACATAATCTGTGGATCTGTGTTTGATTACTCTGGCTGGCTTTCTCAAGGACCAGGATGACACACAAAAATCTGAATTTTGGAACTGAAATTGAAAGTAGTCAAACTGGATTTTTAATAAAACAAAATACAGTTTCAAAGCAAATTAATTCAAATTCTAAACTTTAAATTCACTTTTAAATCATTAAATTCAGTTGCAATTTAGTAAAATTCATTTTCAAACCAGTGCATTCAATTTCAAATTATGCACATTCAGATTCAAACTGAACAATTCAAATTCAATTCCTGCTGGCACAAGATTTATCCCATACACTTCCTGTCACTGCACATGCAAACATTTCAACAACCGTTCATCTCAGCTGCGTGAACTCCCCTTTGTTTTTCTGCAGTATTTGATTGTTTTCTTTCCAATAATGCATTCATATTTATCACAACAAGCTTGTACTCACTCAAGGCGGTGCTCATCTCCTCTACGATCTGCTGCTCCACGTCGGGGTTCTGTTTGAGCAGCATCAGCATGAAGAACAGGCTGATGGACAACGTGTCCGGAGCTGCGATCACCATCTCCAGCACACACTGCCTGACGTTATCTGCTGAGAACTCTCCATGACTCTGTTGGGAAAACAACGGTCAAACCAACTGGCCTGACAGTTTCTTTGCAACAGGTGGGGGCGGGCGGGATTGACCTGAGCAAAGATGAGCTCTGTGGCAAAGTCACGATCATCATCGAGCTTCTCAGCATCATCAATCATCTTTCTTTTCATTTCAAGCAGGCTCTCCATCACGTCCTGCAGCTCCTGGCTGTTGGAGCATAAAGCAACACAAAGAGATAATGCTGAAGGAATCTCAGGTTAAATGTTCAATCACTGATGTTTAGAGGTTCTTACGCTGCTCTCTTGTGTTTGTTGTACAGCCATCCAATCTTGAAGAAAATATCAGGCTTTATCAGAACCGTCTGCCAGGTCTCAAAGTAGTTGTGGATTTTCATCAGCAGCTCTTTCTCTGAGTCATCATGAACAGGGAGAAAAAGAGTCAGGAACTTCAGCCGTTTAGAGATGCTTCGGTCTGAGTGAGGTGAACCTGCAGCTGACCATTGATAGGCACCCTGAGGAACAGCCTGTTGGAGATGTCCACCACTATGGCTCGCAGGAGACTGAGGGCGTCCACGTGTCCAGAGGGATCGGTCAGGTCCTGCAGGCTGTCCAGGTGTTTGTCTGTGGAGCTCACACAGATCCCCACTGTCCTCCGAAGGCCGGGGCCAGTCAGAGCTGCAGAACAAAACTTATTTTATTCAAGACATATGCCAGGATGCTCTGATGTTACAGGTCTCCTCTCACCTTTAGAAAAGTACGTCCTCACTTTTTTCCAAAGTGGGACATCGTTGTTGAAAATGATCCCCCTCCCTTCCATCCCAATACACTCCAGGCCTCTTTTGCTCCCGAATCTGGAGGTGTAGTGAGGACTCCTCAACACATGGTACACCGCAGACGCCCTGCAGGTGACGGTCTGGATTTAGATTTTATTTAATCACAGATTTAGATTTTAATATAAAATTCAGCCTTACTTGCTTAAAATGAGAGTCTCCTCCCCGTTGATCCACACCCGCACGGTGCTGCCGTATTTGAGGTTGTAGTAGTTACATGCTGTTCCAATCCCAGTCCAAATAAACCTGGAGTAGGAGAGAACTGGACCAAGTCCTGCCAAGAAGGAAGGGCCTGAAAAAAAATTATAATTTTTCTGCCCATCTGAAGGAGGATGTCAGAGAAGACAATTTGGCAGAGACAAGCAAAACAAATATATTTGGTTATTGTGTGAATGTTGATTTAGTATTAATACTTTTGCCTATTACTTTAGTTATTTTTAGAATTTAGCTAATTTGATACATTTAACTGGGCTTTTATTACTTACATTTATGCTGCTTTTAGCTACCATTTTGCTACTTTAAGTTTTGTTTTTTGATAGTATCTAGAGCTTTTAGCTTGCCTTTACTTTTGGGTAGTTATTTAGCTACGGTTTTGGTATTTTAGCTAAGAAATATAATAAAAAGGTAAACTTCAGCTACTTTCAGCTTTTAGCCAGCCTTTTTTAGTTACTTTTAGCAAGGTGCTATTTGCTAACTTTTAAGTTTTTTTTTTTTTTTTTTGTATTTTAGCCATTAACTAGCTTTATCCTATTTTCATCTTATAGCTAGCTTTTAGCTACTTTGCACTACTGGCCAGTTTTTGCTACTTTTAGCTAGCTTTCTGCTACCTTTTGTGGTTTTAGCTTTAAGCTAGCCTTTAACCATTTTTAACAGCTAGCTTTTTGATCATTTTAGCTAGTATTCCACTACTTTTTATCCTTTAGATAACCTTTTGCTGCTGCTAGTTGATGTTTTGCTACTTGTAGCTCCAACAACTCAGTTTCAGCTTCTTCAGCAGCAAAATCATTTAGCTCTCATCATTCACTCTTCATTTTCACACAAAATGCATTTTCTCTCCATTTGATGTGATATTCAAATTCTGACTAATAAGATGAATAAAAATAGGAAATTATTTAAATTGCACATAAGCAGTTATGTATTTAGTGGGCATAGAAATGATAGCCTCTTTTCAAGTAGAAAATTTGATTCACTCTTCAGTTTTCAGTTATTTCATAACAGAAGCTGTGTCCTCCTGTACCTGGTATGTGAGACCGATGCTTTCGGCTCCAGGCGATGATCAACAGAACCAGCAGCAGCAGCAGCAGGAAGGAGAGTTCAGACAGACTGTAAACCACCATGTGGCCAAAGGTGAGCACCTCTGGTTGCATCTTCACCTCTGTTTATTCAGCATAAATTAGACTCTGCAGCCGATATCTGTTGACAGAAAAGGTTTCAGCAAACAAAATGTGCACTTTATTTTATTGACTTTATGTCTGTAAACAGATAGCCTTCTTCCTATAATCACTGGTTTTTAACACTGGGAAGTATTAAAGCAAGGCTCATTAAAAAAACACCTATAATAAACTAATAGATGAAATATTTATCATAGCAAACAGTTTCTGTCAGTGGAACAAATGTTAGATTCTAAAAAGCATGTTGGTTTTGTACATTTTTAAAGATCTTTTAAGGTTGTTTTTTTTTTTAAAAACAAAACCTTTGGCTATTATTTAACAAAGAACTTAAAAATGGTAAAATATTTTCACTTACAGTGAATAAAAACTTTAAAAAGCTACATTGTTATATCATGTTTGAATGTGCTATGTAGATCTTTTATAAGAAATATTTTTTGGCAAACAAAATGTATTTTAAAGATAAATCATTAAACTTAAATTAAATTTTAGGATTTAAACACTTGTGCATGGTAGTTTCTTATAATACCAAGCAAAAATCCTGGCCTAAACTATGGAAAAAAATATTACTAAGATGTAAGATATAGTAAAAAAATAAAATAAATAAAGAACACTACACTCTAAATAGGAAATGCTGCTTTACTTGACCAAGTTATCTCACTCAGCTGAGTTGAATATAGAGCAATTTACTTATTTTCTCACAAAGGAAATGTAAAAAAAATTTTTGCAAAGAAAATAAGTAAATTGCTCTACATATACTAAACTCTGCTGAGTAGTTGTTGACATAACTTGGTTAAGTAAATTCAACATTTTATTTTTTTTTAGTTGTAGTATCATAAAGTGGCCAAACACAAAGTTTCAAGCCAAAACATACATTTGATAATGCAAACACAATTTGTTTAGACATATATCAAAGACAATATAAATTTTAAAAATACAGTATATTTTTTCCTCCCTACTTCTGGTCTATTAAAAAAACAAAATCATTTCACTCACCTCTCTTATCCTCTCCTGCCCCTGACACTTGAAAGTGAAGTTTGATGAGATGCAGAACTCCCTCCTCGGGTTTTTAAGGTGATCTACATTCCTCTACCAAATAAATCACAGCCAATCAAGTGTTTATAAATCCCTGGTTGGGCTGTCACTCTTCTAGTTGCTTAGAAACATCACCACTTTTAGGTTATAAGGACTGTTACATGGCAGGCCAGGCAGAGGTGGTCCAAAACACAAATTAGTCCTCAAAACAACAAAAACTGGTTTTTAGTATTGGGAAGAATGGGGATGAAAGGGAGGTCTTTCTTTGGATTTTTTTCCCTTTATTTCAATGGAGCTTAATTCACATTCTGCTTCATTGTGCAGAGAGCAGCCCCACAGACCGATTCATCAGCCGTGGAGTCTTTTCAAGGGGAAATTAATTAGCTGGGTCAGGCTGACCTGTGTCAAAGGAAGCAGGGACTCACACAGCAATTCAAGAGGGAAACCTTTGAATGAAAGAAAAATAATAACAAGATTATCTTTTAAAGACTCATTTCAGATAATTTTACTTTGGAGTTCTGTTTACATGGTTGAACGTGTTTTTTCTTTTCTTGTAAAGATAAAAAAGAAAACTATCTGGTAGTCCATGCTTATAATTAGGTGTCTTTCAAGCAGACTGCCTGTGAATAGCTGCCAGTCTGACAAAAGGTAAAGCTTCACATTTTATCATTAATGAGTTGGCTCAAATCCCAAATTGGCTGAAATACTTACTTTAGTCCTTCGTGCAAAAACTAAAAAACTTGTTCAGACTGATCAGAAGAGTTCACGACCTGGAAAAAAGTTTCTATTTGTTTACAAGGAACTATTTTACAAAAGATGCTTCAGATGGATGAGGTTAGCGAGCAAAATTATTTAAATTAATTACCTAAGAATATTAAACTGAAAAGTGGTAAGTGCATATTTATTCATCCCCTTTGTCTTGAAGCACCAGCAATTACCTCCAGAAGCCCCACATACTTGGTTAAATAGATCCACCTTTGTGCAGTCTAAGTGCCAAATGAGCTACACCTGTTGTGATTGTCTCAAAAATCTACCCTAGTTCAGTAACTCAGAGTCAGGCTTGTCCAATTCTGGTCCTGGAGGCCTGCTATTCTGCATGTTTTACTTGTTTCCCAGCTCCAACACACTTGGTACAATGATTGAATTACCTTTTCAAGTACTGTTGAGCCCTGTTAATTCCCTATTTATTCCAATAAGGTGTGTTGGAGCAGAAACTCTTTAAAACATATGGGATCATCTGCCAATTTCAATCTCCATCTTCTAACACTTATCCATAACAGGACAAAGAATCAATAGACCACAGAGGGAAACCCAGACGTTCCTCTCTGTAGCAACACTCTCCAGCTCCCAGGCCAGAAAGTATATAACCTCTGGATATGCCCATCAGCCTCTTCCTATTGGGACATTCTGGGAAAACCTCCAAAGGGAAGCTTCCTAAGATGCCCAAACTGGTAAAATAAACACAGCGCTTAAGGATGTTCCTGTACAAAATCCCCACAAATACCGCCAATTATTTTTGCTTCCTTATAAACCGTTGACTCAGGTACCGTAGCGATTATGTAACCAGATGAAGTTTGAGATGTCACTGATCACACAAGGTTTTTACCAAATTAGTCAGGCCTTGACTTCTGAAGCAGTTCGGTGGTTGTGGGTTGTTTTTGGCACATGTAATGAAGCTTCTGCTTCAAACAGACTATCACTAGAATTTGGAGTCAATCTGATTCAAGATGGTTGCCAAAGTTTTGGACCCCCACAAACACAAAAATATTATAGCACAGTCAATGTTACAGATATGGAACTAAGCCTCTGTCGTTTTTCATCATAAGATGATGTTAGTGACAAACTGGCATGAAGAGCAACACATGACATGCATGCCTCAGTGAATACTAGGACTTCATTAGGAAATAGAAAGATTAATCAGAGAAATATCCATGTGACCAAAGATAACCCTGATGGAGCTGGACGTGTTTTTCACAGATGGGAGTATTTGTCCACAGGACCACTATAAGCTGCACAGAGCTGGGCTTCATGGAAGATGGGTAGAAAAAGATATAAATGTGTGGGGGGTGGTCGGGGGTGTTGCTTCGCTGTGGCAGAGGGCTGACCGGCTGGCCTGGTGCAGGCCGGGCCTTGGCTGTCTGCTCTTCCACACCCCAGAATGAATGGGCTTGCCTCTTGGGTTCGGATATGGCCTGCCCTCTGTAGGGGGTGGGTATGTGTCCTGGACTTGGGGTGTATAGAGTGTGTATCGGGAGTGTGAGTGGGGTGTGGTGTTCTTCTTGTCTGTCTTTGAATGAGTGGGTGTGAGAATGAGGGGGGGACTGTGTGATTGTGTTTGTGTATGATTGGGTATTTGTCAGGTTGGGACTCGGGCTGCCCCCTCATCTGGTTCACCTGATGGGCTCTGCCCCTGGCCGCACTGTCTTCTGGTGGGGTGTGCCTCTGCCCGCCGGTGCGCTGGTGGCTCTCAATCTCTGGGGCTGGGTGCTTGGGCTTGTGCCGGCTCGGCCTGGTGGGGCTTGGGTCTTCTGGCCCTGTCAGGTCTTGGCCTGGGGTGGGGGGTGCACCCTGTGGATCCGGGTCTCGGTGTCCATGCCTGGTTCTGCTCCAGTGTGGCGGGGTCCGGCGGGGCCTATGGTTGTAGCTGTTGGCCCTGTGCGTTCTGCATGTGGTTGCTGGTGGGGCTCTCCTAGTTCTCTCCTGTGTTCCTCTCTGGGGGTGGGTGGGTGGTTCTCGCTGCGAGGGTGTCCTTGGGGGCTCGGTGCTTGGGGCCTCTCTCGGGGTCTGTGGCTCTGGTCCTCCTTATATTTGCCTTGGGTCTTGGGGGTCGGGTCTGTGGTCCTCCACAGTCACTATTTAATATTCCACTAGAGAAATCTTGTATTTAAATTTCATATGCATGTTCACAACCGCACAAAAATAGACATTTGGATCCTGGGGTTTCTGACAATCACTGGATATATATATGTGTATATGTATATAT